TGCGTGTGAGTTCTTGTTGAAGCTTGCTCAAACTGATTATTTTCCTGTTGAACAACATGATATCAAGAAAACAAGTTCTGTAGCCAACAAAAGTAGGCTAATTAGCTTAACTCCATTCATGGATGGAAAAGGCATTATCAGAGTAGGTGGTAGGTTGAAGCTCTCGTCTTATTCCTCCACTATCAAACATCCTGCCATACTAGCTCAAAGACACCATTTTACAACTCTCCTATTTAACCATGAGCATAGAATGTTGCTCCATGGTGGACCTCAATTACTTCTGTCTCACATTCGACAAAAATATTGGCCCATTTGTGGCATAGACGTAGTCAAAAGAACTGTGCGAGAATGTGTAAAGTGTAGCCATTTCAATCCTAAAGTTGGTAATCCACTGATGGGTAACTTACTCAGAGTCAGAACCTCCCCTAGTTTGCCATTTTCCAACGTTGGACTTGACTATGCCGGTCAATTCTTAATTAAAGATCGAAAAGGTCGAGGTTCCAAAGTCTCTAAATGTTATATAGCTCTTTTCATTTGCCTCGCAATAAAGGTTAAGCACCTTAAGGTTGTCTCAGACCTAAGTGCAGCATGCTTTCTGGAAACATTCAAGCGATTTATTGCGAGAAGAGGAAAACCCTCCAAAGTTTACAGTGATAATGGCACGAACTTTGTAGGAGCTCGCAATCAGTTACTCGAGTTAGGTACCTTCCTAAAGAAAAATTACCGTGCTTTGCAGGAAAAATGTGGTTCCAGCATTGACATAGAGTGGCACTTCATTCCAGCCTATTTACCCCATCATGGTGGTTCATGGGAAGTCGACTAAGTTCCATTTAAAGCGAGTTCTATCCAACGTTACATTTACTTTTGAGAGTTTTTCGATAGTAGTGGCTGAAATTGAAGCAGTATTAAACTCGCGTCCTTCAACTCCCCTATCTAGCGACCCAAACGATTTTCAGGCGCTCACACCAGCGCATTTTTTAATTGATCGATCTTTACAATCAATTCCTCAGCCTGATTATACCTCCACGCCCTTAAATCGAATTTCTCATCTGGAGCATTGAGAACACCTCAAGCAACATTTTTGGTCAAGATGGAGTAAGGAGTATGTTACCCAGTTACAACAAAGCGTCAAGTGGAAAAATCACAAAAATAACATTTCCATTGGGACTCTTGTGCTAGTGCGCGATGTTAATTTGCCGCCCTCTATGTGGCGCTTAGGGCGAGTGGTTGAAGTTCACCCCGGTGAAGACAATATAGTGCGAGTCGTGACAATTAAAATAATGCTTGGTTGAATAAAACGTTCAGTTGCAAAACTATGTCCTCTTCTGGTTTCTCCTAGTGATGAAGAAACCAATACTGTTTAGCGATAAGGTTGTTTGTTAGATTTAAGTTTGAAGATAATAATACAGTTCAGTGCCATTACTTCAAGGTGGGAAGCATGTTCAAGAACTATCCGAATAATCAATTTATTTTGTATAATTCTAAGATATTTTCTTTAACGCCGCCACTGTTCCAAAAAAGCAGTGCATCAATAATCTTGAAAATCTTACGCGCCACTAAATAGACAGACTCCTGGCAGTTCTCGTTGAAGGTTTCAGATTCCAGGTTCAAAATTCAACATACCAAGTAGAAATACAGTCCACAAGAAGCAAAAAAGGCGACACTCGACCCATTGAAAGCCGATTCGACAACACAGTAGTTAAAAAGCCTGATCCCTCATTTGAAAAAATAAATAAATATTTTTATTCTGCTGTAATTTCAATGTCAAAAGCAGGCAAATATCTTTATCTTTCCAATCTTTAACATGGTATCAGCTGTTCACGATTCAAATACAATATTCAAACTATTCAATGACTTCAGATTTTTCTGTGAACGTCATACCTTTTGGCCAGCTGTTTCTAAAATTGTAACTGATTTTTCTTTTGCTAATATTCATGCCATATGTAACTCGCTAAATCGATGCATTAACTAGACAAATGCTATGGGAACCTAGCGGATTTTAATAAATCCCATTTTAATTTTATTAAAATTCATCTATGGTACGCACATTTCATGAAAATGGTGTCTAATGATGTAGATAAATTGTGCACAAATTTTCAGCAGAGGTTTGATTTTAAGGATATAATAGCTGTTGCCATTCAGATTTATTATTTAAATTTTTTCACAATCCGGAAATAAGTAGGTGCCTTTATGTCTGCTATAAACAGGTTTTTTTCTTGAGCAAAAGACGCGCCTCAGCAACGCACCTGTTTTTCGGTCAAGTGGAGTTGAACAGCTTGAAAGAATGTACTTGCCCTAAAAATGGAAAATGCTGAAACTGACTCTGAAGAAGGTGGGGGGCAGAAGCAGAAAAATAAAAATAAGTCAATATGCATGTTGAAGGCCGATATTTAAAAAGATATAGTAATCCGAGTAGTAATCTCATAAGTGAAAACTTAGACGTTAACAATAATGTAAAAAACACTAATAATCATTATGAAAATAAATAATAAGTGTCAGTCTTTCTGGTATAAAATAACTCTAAATAAATATGATACGAGCCGCTTGGATGAAATGACGAGAAGTCAAACAAATTCCGAACTTTGGATGGCAGAGCGACGAATTCGTGTGACATCTTCATTTTTTGATGCGATATGCAAAGTAAAAAACGAAGACTCCTACAATAATACTTCTAGTTGAAAATATCATAAACCCAAAAAAAATTAAAGTCCCAGCTGCGAAATACGGCATACTAAATGAAGATGTGACTAAAAAAACAGTCAAAAATTTAAAAGAAATATTGATAATGCTGAATTGATTTTACACAAAAAAATATATAGTTAGGAAATCAAAAATAATAGAAATTGAGTGTTCCTATAGTAATAATTATAAGCATTTCGAGTCTAACTCGTGCGACCTAGATTTGCTCGATACCAAAAATACAAAAATGAATAAAAACTATCTTTATTATTACCTAATTCAGTGCCCCACCTTAGAAGTCACAGACAGACAATAGTGTGACTAGGTTATAAATATTCTAAAAAAGGTATGAAAGTCGTTGAAGTTGAGCACTCAGTTGAGTTTTGACTGAATATAAAACACAAAATAATTGGATCTTGTAAGAATCATTCGCTTACAAAAAATTATTTTTATGAATGAAAATTTAATAAAAGAGCAAAAAAAAAATGGGTTACTGTCAAGCCACTCGCATTCTGGTTCAGTGAGTGATATAGACTATAGTTGAATTCACGATAGAGTTTGAATTTTGACCATTATTTTCACCAGTTGAAAGTAAATAAAATCCCCAGATCTGTCCCTTTCTCTGTCAACTATCAAATAATGATACATGATATTTCGATTTGGCATATAAAAATATCAGATTGGATCTTTGAATTTCGAATTTTTGTGTGAAATCGTTTAAGTTTTTTTTCCGTTTTCTGCATTATTTTTTTGATATTTTGTTATATTGTTTTTGTTTTTTTATGTAGTGTTTTGTGCCTTTGTGTTTCGGTGTTGAGAAAAACCACCTATTTAAAATATTATTTCTTTGAATCTTAACTTTAAAAAAAAAAACGTTTACTGAATAAAAGTAAATGTTGCAACCATGTATGCGCCGTCAAGTTTAGGGTTGAACCGGGCGCGCCACAGAAAACGAAGGTACCAAAAAACCGAAGAGGATGCAAGAGAATGGAAGACTAGACTAGAGAGAAGAAGCTGGGCTCTGCGGACTTGCCCCTTGAGACGCTAGTCTGCCATTGTTCATTATTCAATTTTAATTTTTATTTTGTATTAAACTGATTGTTCAATCTAATTTGTGATTAGTTTGTGTGTCAAAAGGAGCGATCATAGGTCAGTTGAATAAACGTTATTTTGTTTTTGAGAGTTCAATTTATACAAGTATTAATTTTTTCATTTTTATGTTTTTTTGTTTGTTTTTAACATTTTTTATAACATGTGCATTGTTCATGTATTTAACAAAAATCGTTTTATGCTGTAAACAATACAGATAAAGAGTACATTAAAACCTAGAAAAATTATGTGCAGCCTTTTGTGCTGGGACTTTGATTTTTGGATTCAGAGCGTACATTAGAGCCTTGTTGAATTTACTAACATTTTCCTACCCTGGAAATAATCAATCTAGAAATATCGGCTCAAAAACAACTATAGCTGAGTAGCTTCCCGCTCAGTACCTGCTGGGAAACTGGCTAAGTAATCAAAAAACTCTTCAGTATTGAATATAGGTAGTGTTAATTCAATGTTGTGTGTGGAATTAAAATTTTAGCACAAAGACAAAGGATGGTACCTAATTTAAACTTTTATTGAATTATTGAACCATTGACTTAAATTATTCAATTAATGACTCACAATTATTATTAAAATGACTCAGTATGTTTTTGATTTTTGAGGAATATTAGATCGAGGGTTTCTCTGTCGTGCTCATTCCCCTCGTTAGTTACAGGTTCCAGGATGAGAACGGTACGATTTACTTTAATAATAAAGTAGACGTTTCACAAATTTTTCGTTTCTTTTACATATGACAACCTCCCTTAAATTTCCCTAATATTCGCTATGTCGGGCGCATGTCCAGTAAGTAAAATTGAGTAAGTTTCCACAACGTAGATCCTATCTGTTTTTCATTTCATTTTTCAGAAGATTTGTTGTTTAATAAATAATAAAAATTCTCACCGTTCAATCTCACTGAACGAGCCCGGGATTATTATATACTACAGTGTTGCGTTTTAAACCTGGTTTTAGTTTGGATTTAAGTGTTTACTTTTTTTATAACTGTTTATTTTAAACTCTTTCAAGACTTTTATCTGGTTTATTTTAACATCTTCAAGTGAGAAACCTAATACTTGAACAATATTACGATTTTAAGTGCCGATTTTTTTAAAAACGATAACAGAAACAGACTCGGAAAAGTCAGAACATTGTACCAGGGTCCTGGAGACTGCCCGTAATATATGTAAAATTAGCAATTTAAAATTACTATTGCCATAATTCATCTCCAATAATTTTTAGGGAACAGCAATAAACCTTGAAGATGCTTTTTCGTTTCGGGACGAATCTCTTTCTCTCCAAGCAATAGGGAAAGTGACAAGGTAGAGTAGTATTTTTAAATTTAGTAGGAATAAGGAAATAATTCTTTTGTAGAGACCAATAATTTATGGGAACTCTGTGGCCCAGCAATTTATACAACTCGTATACAACCATTTCATGGTATCACATGAAGATAAAAATGCCATACCTGTAAGTTAATAACAATAAAATTATTGTTGATTGATCATAGAAACTTTTTCGTCTTAATCTCAGTAAATGTGGCTACAAGTTTTGGAAGGGGATATTTTCGAAGCTGGGCTTTTGTTAATTTTTAATAAATAAATTGTAGTTTACTGTTTCATTACCCTTCTAGGAGACTGTAGGAGACAGCTACGGTTTTAAAACTGAGTGAAACCACTGTCTATAAAATTCAAGAATGGTTCAGTTGAGTCTGAAATTACCCCTGTCACACGGAACCGTAAGAAGTTGCAGACAACTGATTCAAGGGGAAGCGTCAAACAGACTATTCGATTAGAAATATACAAAATGTATACCGAGAGTAATGTTCTACTTTGAACTTAGAATTTTTCCATTCCATGTTGCTTCATATTAACATTACCAGATAATTCCAAAAGAATACACCTGATAACATTGGAACTTCTCAGATCAAATTAAACTGTTTTTCATAGTTTAATACTGTTTTTTATATCAGGTCAACACAAATTGAGATGCTGCTAGGATTTCTTTCATTCTATATTTTCATAACATTTTTTAGAATCATTGTTTTCTTGATCATCAATATCCTCAGTTATTGGAGTCTTTCATAAGGATATTCCCCTCTTTGACGTACACAGGTTTCGTTCAGAAATTTGCAAAGCTTCTGTACCTACTGCTGCATGCTTCATCTTGTGTGTTGGTTTTACTGTTGTTTAGATGTTTAGCATCAAATGACTGTAAGCTCAAGACCAAAGATTTTTGAGACACATTATTAAAAAGTAAAGAATTTATAGATTCTAAAGACTTTGAAGCCTCTTTTCCCAAGTCGAATGGTGAAACGGGTGATTAAAGACCTGAGACAGTAGTCGTGGGAAATTCCAAAAAGGCTGAAAAAAAAAATCGAAATCCAAGACTGTCAGTCCCCTGAAAGCTCCATAGACTCCAAAAATTCTGAAAACTTCTAAGGTTTTCAAAGTTCATGACTTGCAACTGAAAAATTTCTAAGATTCCAAAGCACAGCACTGGAAAGTGAAAATATAAGACTTTGAATGCTTTAGAATCCCGTGTCCCAATGTCTCATTATTCAGGATTTGAAAAAGAAGACTCATTATCATTAATTCTAAGACTAAAATTTCCACATTTAAGATTTAGGGCCTGAAGGATCCAGAGCTGCCCGAAAATCTTAAGATTTATTAAAAATTCTAAAGCTCTTGATTCAAAAAGCGTTCATATCTCTAGAAAGTTCAAAAATCAGTGTCTCAAGATCTAAAGAAAGAACATTAGAGACTACAGACTTTAGGGCTCTGATTTATTATGATTTAAGTTCCCGTTGATTGAGGTCTAAGTAAAACCTATAGTTTTCAAATATTCAAATGATGTGATGAAGAAAATTCCCCAAAAATTTTGGAAACTTCTCATATTTCAGACTTTTTTGGGGATCCCCAGAACAGAGCTCAATGTTTCGAATTTCTGCTTCACTCCAAAATTTTGGAAGCAATTTTTTTCTTTTTCAAGTTTTTCAATTATGTATACTAAATTGAAAAACTTCTATTATCATTCCGGTTGGCATTTACAATGACACTAATTTAATCTTGTATTCTTTTCCACGCATCATTAACTGTATTTTGATTTTTGTTGTCTTTATGTTTAGGCAGCCAAATGACCGGCTCATTTTCATACAAATCGAGAAACTCGTACACAATGTCATTTGTCCACTCCATTTCAATTTTTAAAGATAAAACAAACAAAACCTCTGTACTACGCTTCTGCTAGTCGAAAACTAAATGAAATAGTCGCAGTAAAAGCCAATTATTTGTGCATTTCGTTTGAGCGCCTCGTCAAGTATAGACAAGTATGAACTTGGCAAGTATACGAATAATCGTGATCCCTTTGACTCGGGACGTTTTTACCGACAAGAAATGGAAAACCAACGAGTGACAAATAATTGTACAAGTAACCCACTCACACGACATGGCAAGTATACGCAAGTAACGATTATTCGCCAAGTACACGAGTCGTTTGAGCCCGGCTTAAGAATACAATCGTTATCGTTGTTGAAGAAAGTCTCAAAGGTAGTTGAACAAAATATACTAATTAAAATTAGTAATACATATTTGTTTTTGGTCAACTATTTTTTATAATTCAATTACCTACATGGAAAAACTGATGTAACTGCATATTTTATTTATAAAATGTAATAATACAATATTTAAACAGGCATTTTTCGTTTTTAGAATTGCATGTTACTCTTAAAACTATAAAACTGTAAGTGATAGGCTGAAAGAGAGGGAAATTTATCACGGTTCCTAGTCAAGTTTAGGCAGGATTTTGCCCACATTAAGATTTACCTTTAGATCCAAGAAAAGCCCTAATAGAAAAGCCTGATGTAAGCCATATGAGAAGAGTTTTCCTAATGTCATATATGGACAACGAAGCTCTAGGTCCTGCTAAGCTTCCATATGTGTTGCTTGATGAAACATGGATTTTCTCCGTATCCCTAAGAAAGCCTTCGCAGGATGAGGATAATCGTTCCGTATAGAAAATTAAGGGCGATGGTAACAGGTATGACACTATTAGATGAGTAAGTTCAAGAAAAAAAGTACATATTTTATTTTTGTAAGCTGAAAAGGATGCAGAAAAGGTTAATAATATTTTTAAGGGAATTCCTAAGAGACTATTATTATTTAACTAGAATAATGCAACATTGTGTTTCAGATTCATAATTTCATATGGTTTTATCAATGGTTCCTGCCTTATTTTCAAATCGAAAACCAATTCAGGGGATTACCATGGGGAGATAAACAGCGAAAATTTTGAAAATTGGTTGCGAAACGTTCTTCTTCTCAAACTAGTAGAACCATCCATTAGCATCTTGGATAATGCGTCGTATCATAGCAGGCTACTTGAAAACTGGTCTGTTATGAGCTGGAAGAAAGACGATATGCAGAGGTGGTTGGAGGCCAAGGCTATCCCTTTTGACCCAGCTTCTACAAAAGCATACTTGTGGAACAGCATCCTACAAGTCCCCAAGACGAAGAAGTCCTTTGTCGTGGACAATGCCATTATGGAAGCGGGACACCAGGTTTTGCGCTTACCTCCATACCATTGTCAATTTAATGCGATTGAAATGGTATGGAGTCAAGCCAAACGGTATAATGACCAGCTGATCCTTAATGGAAAAGATGCCTTAGGGGCATGACAGAAGGCGCTGGATAGTGTGTCCAAAGACCAATGGGCACAATAAGTAAAACATACGGATGAGGTAATTAGGGCCGCATATGACAAGGAAGAAAACAGAACAATTTGAAACATAATTTCTGTTGAGTTCGATTTTCAAGCTGTTTTAGGGGTAAATTGATACGCTGATTCCAAAGATTTAGTTAGTTTTTTTCAATCACGTCAAGTTTTTTCTCTACAGTTTTTGCGATTGCGACTACGGTTTGTGGAATTGAACGTGAATCATAGAAAACACTACTGCTCTCCTATCGGCGAACCTTCTACGACCGACGAGTGGTGGTGTGAGTGACGTCGCGCCATACGTATAAAAGCTTTGTCAATTGAAGGAGACTGTTTAAAGTACATCATTTCGGTATTCCCTGGGCTGTCATTTGAAAAGATAAAGGCTGGTGTGTTTGATGGTCAACAGATTCGACAATGGATTAAAGATGCACGTTTTATTGAAACAATGACCGAACTTGAAAAGAATGCTTGGCTGGCATTCAAAAATATTGTTAAAATTTTCTTGGAAATCCACGAGCCCAGAATTATATCGAAATTGCTCAACAACTCTTGGACAACTTTAAGAAGCTTGCTTGCAACATGAGTATCAAACTTCATTTTTTACATAGTCATCTTGCCAACTTTCCAGAATATCTTGGTGCTGTTAGCGATGAACAGGACGAGAGATTCCACCAAGACCTGAAGGTTATGGAGGTAAGATATAAAGGTAGATGGGAAGTGAGTATGATGGTTGACTACTGTTGGAGCATCAAGCGAGAATGTCCACAGACTGAAGACTCCAGGAAAAGCTATAAGCGAACATTTTCGCCATATTGTCTTTTTTATTATTTATTGAAAATATATTAACCTCTTTATGAATAAAATATTTTTATATATTTTGTCAGTTCTCACCTTATTTTACTTTATAAGCGCATTTTTTATGAACTTTTAAGGTAAAGAGAGGGTATGCTGCAGCTTAAAAACTTGACGTGGTAGATAAAAACTGTGAATATTTTTGAATTCAGAGACCCAAAATTAGTCAAAAACAAGTCACAGATCTAAGTCAACAAAATTGCTGTTCCCCTAGAAAATTGGGATGTGCTTATTCATTATTTTAGGCAAGTACGGTGTGTTTCATTACCTTTGGTAACATTTGATTAGGTATGTTACATGTTAAACCTAATTGTACACAGTACTAACATGACGTATTGCCTATGAATTCTTTCATGTATCATGTATGTAAATAATTTTAAAATTGTAATTAATTATTCATGCTTACTTTTTATTTTTAAAATATGCATTACACTGTTTCAATCAGTTTAATGCCCTTTCTCAAAGTAATCATGTTCTCAAACATGAACTCCATACAAAATCAAAAGCTTCTTATGCAAATATGTCAAAATTTTTTAAAACCAAGTTCCTTTGAACATGATGTACTTAAAAGCAATCTTCGGTTACCTTATAACCTTCTTGCTCAGGAGAAAATTTATGTAGGGCAACAATGTGAAATTTTCTTAAAGGCGTCCGATCTTCCCTCAGCAGATATATGTGATTTTAAGAACAACTGTTTGAAATTCTACCAAACCAGCTGAGGAGATGCAGAAACGTTTTTTTGGAAATGAGGTTTGTTTATGCTTTTATTAGTTTTATTGCTTATAAATGAAATTCAATAATTAATATCACTTTTAGGTGGCTGATAGGGATGCAATTTTTAGCAGCTAATATTGCACTGGAGCTATCTGGTAGAGAAAAATACCCAATTTAGAAATGTTAGGAAAAAGATTTATGATTTATACATCGATTTTGATGAATTAGAGAGCATGAATGGAGAAATTTGCCTAATATGCGATAAAGTCCACTTTTATGCATTAGGTAGGGGCATACTATATGTACGTATGCCAATATCATTGTAATATAAATATGACTCATAAACTAGATAGCTTAACTCAATAAAGCAAGGTTATGTTTTGTAATTTGTGACGTCAGAATTCGGAATTATTTCAAAAAAAGGTTGGCCCGTAGCAATAGCAATATACACCACCTCGAAAGAAGATAAGAGATAACGTTTCATGCAACAAAACACATAGCAAAGTCTCTTAACAAAATTTTGGGGATTCTCTGGAGTTACCCATTTTTTTCGGCGTGTCCCATGCACACATTATTTTTTAAGGCTTGAAATAAACGTTTTTCGGCGGGT